TTTGCATCGACTGTTCAACCTAATGATTTGGCTTACCTGCCAACGGCAAGCTCCCTCTACTTCAGTTCCTACAGCCTCATTGATACAGTAATCTACTTAATGTCTGTGGCCATTTCACTTAATGTTTGTCCTCCTACTCTGGGAGTATGTGGGAGCATCTGTATGGACCCAGACGAGGACAGGAAATAAATTGGTTTTTTTTAAAGTCAGAAATTACACATGTGGTGTGTTTTCTGCACTTGGGTCCACTTAAGTGGTATTACGTAATGCAATTTCTGCTTCGCCTCCACATCATGGAATTAGAAGAAGTCTTTATAAATGTTTCAAGGATGATATGCCTTCTTCAAGATGTTTCCCCTTGAACCAGCTGAGATCTAGAATATCCAGCTGCAGATGCAGTCTGCCTTAGAGGAATTAACGGTCTATTAAAGTCTTAGTCAAACATACTTACAACAATAAAATTGAAATCAAAGTACATGAAGGACAATCACTGGACAAGCTCAACTTAGTCTCAGTTTTCCTCACTGTTAACTGCCATTCTTTTGTAAGCTTGTAATATTGGAACTGTCACGTTTACCATTTCCTTCCTTCCATTTCTAATTATTGTGATTTTCTTCCCCACTACCAGCCTTTTCCAACCATGTCCACATACAAGGATTTTTTGGACAATTCTGCCTAAACCCCTGCTTAATGACAAGGTTTAAAAAAAAAATGACAGGTGTTCCTATAAAGTCCTGATGACAAAGCTCCGTATATTGTTGAGCGAATTACACACTTTTTTACTTTTAAGGGGTTGAAATCGAACCATCATATACCTCATGCCTGGAACCCAATATTAGCACAAGAAGTGATGAACACATATTTACAGCATACACAAATACTCACACAAGATGAATATGGTTTGACATCTCTGTCAAAAGGTTTTACTTTTGATTATTAGACCATCGTGTTAACAGAAATGTTTTTAAATGTTGCACATTTAACACTTAATATAATACCAATGCATTTTCCATTTGTGTAATGTAGATAATTTCACATAAATACCATATATACCCACAGTTGCAAATGCATTTCTGCAGGAACACCCTCAAACCGTTTTCCAACCGATCATTTTGTTTCAACAATCTGAAATAGGATGAGGCAGCACGATGCATTTAGAAACTACTAACAGTGTGCTGTGTTTACTGTGCTTTCTGAGTTACAGAGTAAAATAACTTAAGTTTCTAGAATGTTTGTCTTTGATAATTCCTAGATCAATAGTTTAGGTAACATACTTGGATGGATTTTGAGCTTTGTCATTGAAATTGCAAAAACAATAACTAGAGATGCATGTTTCGTCCTGCATGAATGAATGTTTCACTGACAATAATGGTATTTAATTGTGGTGGGGAAAACACCATGATTAAATCATGATTATGCTTTGAAAAATACTTTTTTACAAGGATTTCTGTGGCGTGGTCATTAATCTTACATAGTCTGACATTTGCATTTGTTGGAAATTGCTTTTAAACAAAATAAAAATGAATGGCACCCCTAAATACATCATAATATCAATTTAGCAATGCTGAAAGACACAGTTTTGTATATATTTTTCTCTCAAAGTAGCAGAGTAACAATGATAAATGAGCAATGCAATCTATTGATGCATACAGTGTGTAACTGTGTCAGAGCTGGATGACTCTCCTCAATGTGATAAACACTGGGCAGGGCAACATTCCAACAGAAAGTGTAGCAAATTTGATAACTAACTGGTATTTAATCTTTAATTTCCCCCACTTTGATTAAATCAAACTAAAACATGGTACATCTAATGGACATATCATTAGTCTCAATGTTGCCATATTGTAGTCTTTAAAGGCATAGTTTGTGTGTTTTGAAGTAGGGTTGCATGAGATACTTATCTATAGTCAGTGTATTAGCTACTCTAGCTACTATTAGCTACTATTAGTACGTCAACTTATTACATTAAGTTAGCAACATTTTACTTATTATGTCGTCTTGAGCGCTCTACTTTTCTAAACCTGAATTAAGAAAAAGTGCAATACTGATAGTAAAAGACCATTACATTTCTCTGTCTATGTACTCTACTCTATGTGTATGCATGTATTTATGTATGTATGTATGTATGTATGTATGTATGTATGTATGTATGTATGTAGCATCGATGTTCCAACACAAAATCCAGCCATTGCAATTTGACAACACACAATTGAGAAACCACAAACCAAAAGTGCATACTGTACATATTTACCAATGTGACAACAAATATATAGCACTTCAAATTGCATTGCAATTACACACAAACACACACTCAAAGGCACCAGTGTGGCATTTTCCTGTCGTTCTAGGTTTTGTGAACTTGTACATCTTCAGCTCTAAAGATGTAAACTTCAAATATTTGATTCTCTCACATCAATCCTCTTCAATTTCCGAGATAACTAATCTTAGATAAGCCGAAACCTCACTGATACCGGGCTGCATACTTAATTCGATTCAGATGTGTAATCTATGAAGATTTCCAAAAGGGGATAAAGAAATACAAACAGACTGCATTGTGACAAATACCAGATAGTTCAAAGGAGAAATCTTGAGTAATCTTAGAAATTATTAGACGCAAAATAAGTTAGTTGTCTGACTTTAAGTCTCCTTGTAAACTCCTGAAAAGTTATCTGAATGTCAGATACGACTCATCGGAAGTTACATCCATCATTGTTGGATGAGCTGCAATATTTGTTTCTCTGCTAGCTTAAAACAAACTGGAATATAAAAATATTTTTGCCGTTTAGTTCACTCTAATAAATTGCTCATGGCATATGTTTCTTCAGGGTGCTGGCAGAAAATTAAACAGTGCAGGGAAGGCTGCAAGCAAGAGGGAAACAGGATACTGGTACAAATTGTTCTGCACCCTCAGAAATGAAATCATTTTTCAAACCCCTTCTGAAATGGTGTGTAAGCCAGTTAATACGCTGTAATAGGTTGTCTGGAGAGAGCTTTTGTGGCGAAATTACACTTCATAGGACCGCTTCTGTTTTTCAGCATACATGCAGCTCGACGTTGGGGCGGTTTTTAACTCTGTGCACTGTGGACATTTACTGGTTTCCATGTTAAACAATGTTACAGTTATGACCCAAAAAAACATTATGAGAGTGCGGCATTCACATAAAATGTTATTAAGAAGAACATTGCTGACTCTTCTAGTGAATAAACAGCTTGTTTTCATGGTACAAAATCCCATTTAGCTATTGAGAGTACTTTTGAACTTGTTGCAGTTGTGTTAATATACACTATGTATAACTACAATCTGACACAAGGGTTTTGTTGACCAAGCTGCAGATAAAAAAAGACTTCAAAGGGTGCAAACGCAATGCATGCAATCATTGAAAATGGGGGATATAAAGCAATAGCAGGTAATACTATCTGGAACACCTACACTGCCAGAACAGGTTTGGAGAAGTGTTATGGCTTTAACTGATTGCCTGACTTGTCTTCATGACTGCTTTTTGGGTGGCTGCCAGTAGTCACAAATTGATGACACTTCCAACAGAAAGAAAAAAAAAAAAAGCTCTTAACTTTCTGTGCTCCTGAAATTAATCAAAAGCAGGAGAAGCTGAAGAGGTAACAGAGCAACTGGGGTGGAGGTTTTCCATGTTCTGTAGCAGCAATTATAGACATACACCTTACAGCACCTGGGTGAATGAACAGGCAGTATGTGGAGGAGATAAAGTCCTCTCAATTTATATCTTGATGAATGAATGTACAGTGGATCTTTACAGGTTTACAGTAGTTATTCCCATTGATTGATAGCTCATGTTGGTTTCAGTACTGTATATGGAATATTTTGTTGTTTTTGACCTTTGTTCCTACTGGTCTACAAGTTTAAGCCATGCTGTGCCCTGACAGGCTCACTGCCAAGATATCCACTGTCTACAATCTGCCCTGTTACAAACACAGATGGTTTATGAAGGCTTACATTTTGTCTGACCTGTGAAAATGCTTCTGGCATCATATTGCTGTACTTTTCTCCCTAACAGCTGATACCAGTTCATATACAGATGACAGCTGAGTAAGCAAATCTCAGTCTTTGAAATTCACTATACACAGTACATAGAGATGTCTTGATGTGTAAGATGGCAACATGTTCTGTCCTCAAAGTTATCATTTTAAATAACAAATCTGCAAAAAATGATCACAAACCTGAAATGCGTTTTTCTTTGCATCTCCTTAGGAAAATGTATAAGAGTAATCGTGCTAAAGGCAGTTCTGATGTCTCACTTCTACAGCAAGTGAGATTCTGTTATAACATTTAAGACAACAGCCGGCACGTGTGACAATTGATGATTCGTGAATGATGTGCAATAACAGCCTAATATCCACCGATCTATCCTCTATCCATCCAATATCAATAGCACTATCTCTGCGCTGCTGAGCTGCCTGCCTGCAAACCTGTCTGGCCTCTTTGCTCTCACAGCCCTGCTAATACGTCTGTAACAGAGGCAGAGCACATTGGACCGCAGCACTGCTCTCATCAGAGATACACACACAGCCACAGAGAGACAGCATACACACACACACACACACACACACAGAGGGAACACACTTACATGCACATGTGAATAAGTACACTCAACCGCCTATTATTATGGTACATTAGGTAGGTGGGCACATGCATACATTTGTACCCACTCACTCTCACACATACACAGGTGCATGCTTATTCAGTATGTTTTACTTTCACTTTCAGTTTTACTTAAACTTCATACCATTTATTTAACACGCATGCACGCCTAAATATTTACCATGTTTCTAGTTGGTTTGGAGACATTTTATTCAACTGAATTGTCAATAAATGTTTCAGATGCAATACAAAAGAAACACTGCCAGCCCCATGTCACAACCAGCAGGGTCCATTTTGCATTCATCATTCAGCAATTCAATCAGTCAGTAAAATTCATATGTAGAAAACAATAACAGAGTAAAAGCGAATGTGAATCCTTGCCTACCTCTATATGGTGTGCTGTGATTTATTAAGACTCAACATGAAGATGCATTGTGACGACTGGTAGATTGACTGAAAAGAGAAAAGATGGCCTCGGGAGATGGATCCAAAGATCTGAGAACAGAGAAACAAGACATGGGTTAGTGCATGATTTTATATGGATATCCCTGACTAAACCCTGCACACCCAATCATGAGGTTATCACAGCCCATTGGACTGCATAGCTGTCATCATAAATAAAGAGCAACAGTTTCAGTAATGGTAACCCTACCGACCCCTACCTACACAAATTGAGCAGAGGCGCTTTGGTTGTGTACCTGTATTAACCATCTTAGTTTAGCGTATTAGCAAGATAATAGTTGCTCTTCATGACCTGATTATGGTGTTAAATAAAATTCCGTCCAACGTATGTCCAAGCCTTCCTGCCTCATCCTGCCATATCTACAAACAGATATCATATTGGGTTTAGACACTGTTTTAGTTCTCTTGAAAGGAGAATAAGATATCAAGACCCTAGCTACATTATTGGCAAGCAGAAACCTGGAAGGCCGAACATCATATAAATGTTCGATGCCTATAGACTAAAAATACTTTTGGCAGCAAAAATGTAGGTGCTGATGCAAAAGGTCTGTCAGTTTCTTTTTCTAACACTTAGTCCTAATGAGGATCAAAGTGCTGTCAAATTGAAACTGATAGCCTGTACTTTTGTGTAAAGAGTACACAATGACACACACATCACACAGGATGCAGCGACTGTGGTAGTCAGTTTTTCAGCCAGCTGAGCTAACGAGCTCATTCTGCACATAATGCACACAGATATGCCAGCATCTATTAACGGCAGTGATACTACATATGTTTCCTCGCACACATCCTGACAGTAAGTCTCTCAATGAGCAGTGACAGCAGCACTTATGGAAGATCTGTTTGCATGCGTGTTCTGGTTGGTGGTTGTCAGTTCTGTATTTCTCCTGACACACAGGCTGGTTTTGACATTGCAAGTATTAATTATTTTCACGAGAGGAATCCCCTTTACCTTCAAAAAACAAAAGCATGTAAAAGACACATGCACAACACAACAGACATCCTTTTGAGCAATGACAGCTTCATGGAATACAATATCATTTCAGTATTTTCGCTTTAATGGCCTTCGCTTCAATTTATGAAGCTCCACGCCTCATTCTTCTTTAACAATTAAAACAATGATACACAAGAGGATACTCTGTGGTGTGATATATTGCAGCTATGTTTAAGTCCCTTGTGGCAGGTAAAAAAAGATCCCATCTGTATTCAAACAATCTTCTAAGCCTGTTGAGAGAGAGTGTTTATAATCATATTAATGTATTGACTTCAATTTAGAATTTTTACACAGGAATTACTTAATTCATCTCCTCATTTTAATTAATAGCGGGGCATTTTGTGCCCAGTGAATTGCTAAATTATGCTCTTCAGTAATTTCATCTCTTTTTCTTTCTCTTTTGATCAGGAGCACAGATTCCCTCCTTACACACAGCCCAGGTTGATGTCAGCTGCTATCCAACCACTCCAGAATCTCGAAGGGCAATTTTTAATTAAAGGATGACATCTGAAGTAACTATATATAAAAAAAGATGTATTACGGTAAAAAAACTTGTTATCCCTTGTGTGCAATAGAATTGTTCAGACTATGCTGTGCTCGTTATCCGAAGTCCAACATAAATACATATAAATCAACCAATGATCAGAATTCTGTATGCAATCTATACAGTCCTCTTAGATTCTAGCACCTAGAAATTACAAAATCCCAGTGTTTATTTTGCAAAGCATTACTCGCAAAGAAACAAGCAATGATGAAACAACACTCAATGTAGAATTAGAACTGTATTAGAGAGTGTTGACAGAACCAGAGAAACTGGAATTAGGGTCATAACACTTTTTTAGGGAATGAATCTGACCTGATGCTTGAACATTGACTACTTTCTGAAGTTGACTTACTCCCCCAAGAGTAAGCAATATTACTAGTGCATTTTGTATTTTTAAAAACAAGATATCCAACTTAGTGCTAAGTTACACACTGGATGACTGTTGGAGCCTCCCAACAACAAAAGTCTGTCATTTAATGTTTGGTTTAATGCTAATCTGGTCATAGAAAAACAGTCAATCCACCAAACAAATAGCAACACTGATAAACGACATCGTGAGATGCCTGATGGCGTCTTTGTTGAATGCTCAGAAATGTGTATTTTTTTTTTAAAATCTTGGTTAATATGAAGAGCTGCTCAAATTGTATTCAATTATGGATTCAATCTAGTTTCAACATGAACATCTATTAACATAATTTCACTGCCATTCAATTGCAAATGTTTTTGGAGACTTTGCTAAAGCAAAAGCCCAATTAAATGAAGCTTCTTCATGAAACTATTCTTTAAAATCTATTGTAAGCCACCCATTAACCACCTTCAGGTCTTTGTGAACACTGCCTTATCGCCTCGTGTTAGCCATCACACTGCTCCTCTGTATTGTATGATCTTGAAAGTCATTGGTATTCTACTCAGTTTGCCTCTATATTTAGCATCTGTTCTCTCCACTCAGCTATTTTAGATTATAGTGAAATAACCTGTCAGGGAGCTTGGTGCGTGCGTAGATGTGTGCGTGCATTAATGTGAAAGAAAGGAAGAGAAAGGGAAAGTGTGAATAAAAGGCAGAAAGAAGGGCATTCGTGAGGCGTGTATGTGATGGCTTTTTACCGACAATCTGTCTGATACGCTTTGAACATAAAAGTAAAAGAAGAAACAAAGAGTAGTGTGAAAAAAAGCAATGTCAGAGGTATAAATGATTCAAATAAACATGGCAGAAAGACCCACAGTAAAGCACACACCCTTACCCACCTAAAACACATGCATGCCTTTTTGACCTGTTTAAAAATACATTTAAGAGGGAATTCCTCAATAAATAAATGAAAAAGAAAATCCCCCTATCTTTTCTTAACTTCCTCTCAATCTCGTCTATGGACCTCCTCTTGGCATCCTCTCTCTGCTTCTCTTATTGCTTTCCTTTTCACTTAATTCTTTTTCATTTTTATAGCACCTTTCAGTTGAGCAGTAGGCAAACACAGTGTGATTAAGTGCTGGACACGCCAGTACATTTTTAGAAAGGGTAAAGTATTAACTTGCATTTTTTCCTCGAACACATGCTGTCCTTACTGTGTACATAGAATACTATTTTCCAATATACACTTAATGTATGTTTTTATTCTAGCACCTTTTCTATGTAGTCTCTCTCTTTAATGCATATGATGCAGTGCGTATTGTACATGCAACATTTCATTGTGCCTGCGCTAGGTTCCTGAAAGTGTGTGCACAAGGTGTTAAGACTGTCCAACACCTGTGGGAACAGTTTCAAAATGGAAAAAATGATGTTGAATTTTGTAATTTAAACTAATTCAAATAATTTATTTTTTGTGTGTACGTATTTGTGTTTGGAAATATTTCCCCTTGAGAGAGGAATTAAACTGTATTTGATTGAATTGTCACTGCTGGGGACTTCTACCTGACCTAACCTTTGCCCAAGTACCGCTTCTCTGGGCTTGAAGCAGACGTTAAGGGTGAATACATAAAGCAGGTCTGTTTGGTGCAGGGAAGATGTAGCGCAGTCATTAGCAGCATTAATAATGGAGTCCAAAACATGCCCAAAATATTTCCAGTGTTGATCTTTAAGTCTATTACCTTGAACAGAATAGGTCGGCATAGAAATTAGAAGCGTTTTTAGTATTACGTAACTTTGATTAAGACCTTAACAGGCCTTCAACCTACAGTGTAGCTATTTCAGTAAAAGATATTTAAAGATTTTTTTAATGGCCTTCAAGCACCCTGCTCTCATCTCATTCCATCTTCTCTGCTCCTCTTCTCTTCCAATTCCTCATGATGCACTGAATCAAGCTCTTCTTAACCCCTTTCTGTGTACGTGCACTCCTCTTTCTGTCATCTCTTTTTAATCCACCACACCACCGCCACCCTCGCCTTGCCTCCCGCCCTCCTTCAGATGCAGTATAATTATCTGGTCATCATTATCAGAATCATTCTGTTTCCTCATTATAAACCCATCTGCTCTGCTCTGCTTTGCAATCCAACCAACATGACATAAATACACAATCACACGGCTACTAAAGCACACACGTCTTTTTCTCTCTTCTTTCTCCTTACTGTCTCATCACTGGAGCCACTTCAGAGACTGAACACATCAGTGTAACTGGTGTGAGGTGATTGTGCTGGAAGTGAGGTGAAGATGTTGTACTAATCTACGGAGATCCATCAAGGAATGAAAAACAAAACTGCAGAGCACCCTCTATGTCTGTGGTCTTGATGTCACCGAGGTAAAAGTAACTATGTTTGCAATGATATATTCAATGCATTTACCGTTACACTATTGTTCTATCCATTGGCATCTTATTTAAACACCGGTGAAATAATGCTTGTTTAGATGAATCCGTGGACACTAAATGGCACTCAGAATGAGTAAACTGTAATAACAACAAACATCAAACAATACCAAGACTGCAAACACTCATGTGTTCCAGTTTTGCTGCTGAGACAACTTAATATGAAGGCTGTGCTGTTATCTAGGAGGTAAAGTGTGAATATGTATTTGCCAAATTTCCCAGTGCTGTGACAAATACATTGTCCTACCGTACTTGCCTGGCTGAGTACGGGTGTCGACTGCAGTTCTCATGGAAAGTGAAAGGTAAGACAGTGGCAGAGAATTCATGTGAGACCTCCACTTAAAGGATAAATGCAGAACACAACGCATGAAGAGAAACTGTCACCATGGCTAACACTTGTTTGTGAATCATGTAGTCCATTTAATCAACAAATCATGGAAGCTGCTTTTCTCTCGAGAAATGAATGTCAACATTCAAAATGACCCCATTACAGCTACGGTAGTATTTATCAAGACTAGGTTTGATTAGAAAATGTGATCTCCTTGATGAGACCATTTAAATTTGAGTAAGGTACGGAAGCTTATTAGAGTTGTTGGTTTTTCTTCTTTTTAATAAAGCAAAAAATAAGAGAGCAGGGGGAGCAAGGAACTCGTAGGACGTGGGACAGTCACAGCACCATATGACTCTAAAAACACGACGT